AAATATATAAACATATAAAATTTTTTACTTTGATAATTCTTCATGCTAGGAATCCTAACCTGAGATTCATTTTTAAATCAGTCGACAAATTCATGATCATAGTTAACTTTTTTAATAGTAGTATATGCTCGTGTAATATATTTGTTATAAAAGTCTAATTTATATCCAGTCTCTTTTTTAGATTTCTTGCTAAGGTTTATTGGTTGATATGAGCAGTCTTTCTATAAATTTTATGTAAACTAAACACACCAAGCATATTGAGCAGGCATTGGAGCGAAAATTTAATAATGTTGACATTATTGTTATATAATAATTAGAAATACTATAGCTTTTATTATTTTTATTATATAATGGATTATGCCGAAATCACTAACTTAACCGAATCGGCCAAACAATAATTCAACTAATTTTTAGAAGATGTTTCAGAAATCATGATAATAGCTGTAAAAAAATTTTTTTTACTATCCTGAATCTTGACCTGTTTGACCCGGATCAGAGCAATTTCTGACCCGTGATCTGTCAGGTTGGGTGACCCGTACGGATCACCTGACCTAGGCCGGAACACTAAGGAGTACGTAATGAGCGCCTAGTTAGGAAGGTTGGTGCTTGAAAAACGTCTGTAGAATGGCAGTATTCCAAAAGGTGGCGTGAAATACAAATATGAAACAGCAGGTCAATATGTACTAATTAGGAAGAAGTTATAGAAACAAGCATGTGAATACATGTGTGGGACATGTACTGCTATGTTAGGTTTACCTCAAGAATAGACTAGGCCTATATAGATTAGTAAGTTCTAAGGCAGGGTACAAAAGCCAATGTGGGGTAATACCAATATCTATTTAGTTTAGTGAAGAAACTCTCCAGGTTAGAGGGCCAATGAAGGTAGTTAAAACCAGATAGTTTAAATGAGTACCCTCTAGTTGGGGTGCAGGTACAGCAAATAGTGTAGAACCTTCGGGCAGTGTTGTATATAGGACAATTTTGGACAATCTTGGACATTTTTTCAAATTAAAATTACTCAAAATTTTATTAAGATAATCTATTTTAATTTTTTTACCAATAAGTCCAGCACCTAAAAAAATATATAATTATATATTTTTTTAAATTACTTTATTGATTAGTTAAACATGGGACATAGGCTTGGACGATTTTAGACAATTTTGAACATTGGACATTTTACATAGTGTGGACATGTCCCATGTACAACACTGTATATGAGTATTGGAATAGGAGACCAAGTAGAATATATTCCAATATCTTGTAAACAACAAATAGAAGACCCTAATACAGTATATCCAATTAACTTTAAAAATCTATATTCTAATCAGAAACTGGAGTTGAAATTAGAAAATGATGAACTTATGGAGCCAATTTATACTACTATTCAAGTTGGAAATACCTTTTCTCAACTTGATGAACAACTTATAGCAAATATTAAAATAGAAAATGTTAACAATTCTTTAAATCCTCCTCCTCCAGATATATTTAAACTAATTCAACCAGAAATAAATGAAATAAAAGACAAGAGAAAAAAAGCCCAGAAAGTTCCTATACATATTACTGAGGATAAATCAACCTTTATTGAACATACATTAAATAATAGTTAACAACAAATTATAACACAACTACTTCATGACAATGCAGATATCTTTGCTACTACTTTTGCAGAATTAAGTAAAACCAATATTGTATACCATACTATCAATACAGGTGATTCCTATTCTATTAAACAAAGAGCTTACCGAGCCTCACCAATGGAACAAGAGTGTATTGAAAAAAAAATTTTACAAATGAAAGAGGATAGTATTATTTGAAAATCTGAAAGCTTTTGGAGCTCTCTAGTTGTTCTTGTTAAAAAGAAAAATGGCAAGTTGAGATTTTGTATAGATTTTAGAAAACTAAACAATATAACAAAAAAGGATACTTACTCATTACCAAGAATTGATGAAATGCTTGATAATCTTGGTAATGCTCAATGGTTTACATTTTTAGATTTAACTTCTAGATATTGGCAAGTAGAAGTTAAAGAGGAAAATAAGGAAAAAACTGCTTTTGTTACCAAATATGGCTTATATGAATTCAATGTAATGCCTTTTGGATTATGTAATGCTCCTTCTATCTTTCAAAGGCTTATAAATGTAGTACTAAGACCTGTTCTTTGGAAAAAGGCCATAGTTTACATTGATGATATAAATATATATTCAAATTCATTTGAACAACATATATTGGATATTTAGGAAGTATTTAGCTTAATAATACAAGCCAAACTTCATATTAACCCACAAAAATACCATTTTTGTACTAATAAAATACAGTTTCTTAAGCATATAATTAGAATTAAAAGAATTAGACCAGATCTTCAAAAGGTTGATAAACTAAATGATCTTTCTCCTCCCAAAAACCTTACTCAGCTTAGAGCTTTCTTAGGGTTAGCATCTTATTATAGACATTTTATTGAAGGATTTTCTAAGAGAGCTGGACTGTTGTTAAAATTATTAAAAAGAGATAAACCTTTTATTTGGGGAAAGCCCCAAGATGAGATTTTTAGTTGGTTAAAACATTGTCTAACACATTCTCCTATATTACAATATTCTGATTACTCTGAACCTTTTATTCTTTTTACTGATGCTTCTTACCAAGAACTAGGTGCAGTTCTCTCTTAAATCAAAGATGATAAAGAGCATGCAATTGCTTATGCTAGCTGAACCTTAACTCCTGCTAAAACAAATTATAGCACTGTTGAATTAGAATGTTTAGCAGTTGTTTGGGCTGTCAAATATTTCAGACATTATATCTATGGAATAAGATTTACTCTAATAACAGATCACAAGGCACTACAATAGTTGTTAAACTCTTATACAATTAATAACAATAAATGGATAACCCGATGGAGGATGACTCTCCAAGAATACCAGTTTGATATTAAATATCAAGCTAGTAGCCGAAACAAAAATGCTGATTTTCTATCTCGCCTACCAGAATACCTAAAAGATAATGGATAGCAAACTATATAATTAGCTATATCAATACCTTTCCTCTCTACAATTTGACTTGGACATCTTTAATACGGACAAATCTCGAATCCAAAAAGAAGCAAAACATTACTTTATAAAAAATAACAAACTATATAAAAAAAAATAAGGACAAGCCCCAATGAGTAATCAAACCAGACCAAAAATATCTCATATTGTAGACTTTATATAATGAACAAGGAATACACTTAGGTATCTTATCTACTTTTAATAAAATAAAAGAAAGATATTATTGGCCCACTATGTACAATGGTATCAAAAATTATATTCAAATATGTGATATTTGCTAACGAAGAGAACATGAAGTTAGACGGCAAGATCTATATCCTTTGGAAGTAAAATATCCTTTTCATAGAGTTGGAATTGATATTAAAGGACCTCTATCTTCAACTAAACAAAGTAATAGATATATTATTGTGGCTATGAATTATTTAACTAAATGGCCTGAAGCAAGAGCTATAGCTAACATAAAAGCTATAACTGTTGCTAAATTTATATATGAAGATATTATTTGTCGACATGGAACATCTACAATATTGCTATCTAACTGAGAAACAAATTTTCTAAATAATATTATAAAGGAATTGTGTAATAACTTTCAAATAAATATCATAAATCATCTGCTTACCATCCACAAACAAATGGAATGATTGAATGATTTAACTGTACTATGGGAGAAGCTCTTGCAAAAATAACAAGCTATAAGTACAAGAAGTGTAATGAAATTCTTCCTTCTGTATTATTAGCTTACCGCACTATAAAACATGGTACAACAAAATTTATATCTTTCTCTCTTATATATGGACGTGATGCAAAATTACCTATAGAAACAATTGTAGAAACTTATTATAAGGAAGATGAATCATTTCAAGAAGCTCTCTTAAAAAGATCTTTTGAAATAGAGGATGTTCTATTAAAACAGCAAGATGAAGCCTTAGAAAATATACAAAAGGCACAAAAATCACAAAAAGAGTACCATGACAAAAATATTAAAATTGATAAATTAAAAATAGATGATAAGGTTCTAGTTGTGAAATCTTTTCTTAAAAATATTTTTTCTGCTAAATTAGAGAAAAATTTATGAGCCCTTATATAATTCATGATATATTAGAATTTGGTGTTTATAAACTAAAAACTTTTGATGACAAAAAAGTTAAAGATCCAGTTCATGGTGACCGTTTAAAGCTTTATCATAATAGAGAAATTAATGATCTACTGGTTCCTCAAGTTATCATAGCACAAGGCAATAATATATAAAAATAGAATATATAACTTTTATTTATTATTTATTTAATTTTATTATTTAATTGCTGATCTGGATAAGATTAGCACAATTTCTATATTAGAATTTGAGGCAAAATCCCTATGATATTAACTATATGCTGGAATCTGAGCAGAGTCGAATGAAAAGTATTTTTTTTTATTAAGTTAACAACCAAAGCAAATTA